CTTAATCTTTAAAAATGAAATGGGAGAAAATATTTGCAAATGACATATCAGATAAAGGGCTAGTATCCAAAATCTATAAAGAACTTATCAAACTCAACACCCAAAGAACAAATAATCCAATCAAGAAATGGGCAGAAGACATGAACAGACATTTCTCCAAAGAAGACATCCAAATGGCCAACAGGCACATGAAAAAGTGCTCAACATCGCTCGGCATCAGGGAAATCCAAATCAAAACCTCAATGAGATACCACCTCACACCCGTCAGAATGGCTAAAATTAACAAGTCAGGAAACGACAGATGTTGGCGGGGATATGGAGAAAGGGGAACTCTCCTACACTGTTGGTGGGAATGCAAGCTGGTGCAACCACTCTGGAAAACAGTATGGAGGCTCCTCAAACAGTTGAAAATAGAGCTACCGTTCGATCCAGCAATTGCACTACTGGGTATTTACCACAAAGATACAATTGTAGGGACCCAAAGGGGTACGTGTACCCCAATGTTTATAGCAGCAATGTCCACAATAGCCAAACTGTGGAAAGAGCCAAGATGCCTATCGACAGATGAATGGATAAAGAAGAAGTGGTATATATACACAATGGAATATTATGCAGCCATCAAAAGGAATGAGATCTTGCCATTTGCAACGACGTGGATGGAACTGGAGGGTGTTATGCTGAGTGAAATAAGTCAATCAGAGAAAGACATGTATCACATGACCTCACTGATATGAGGAATTCTTAATCTCAGGAAATAAACTGAGTGTTACTGGAGTGGTTGGGGGTGGGAGGGATGGGGTGGCTGGGTGATAGACATTGGGGAGGGTATGTGCTACGGTGAGCGCTGTGAATTGTGCAAGACTGTTGAATCACAGATCTGTACTTCTGAAACAAATAATGCAACATATTTTAAGAAAAAAGAAAAAGAAGAAGATAACAGGAGAGGAAGAAAAGGGGAGTATATCAGAGGGGGAGATGAACCATGAGAGATGATGGACTCTGAAAAACAAACTGAGGGTTCTAGAGGGGAGGGGGTAGGGGGATGGGTTAGCCTGGTGATGGGTATTGAGGAGGGCACGTTCTGCATGGAGCACTGGGTGTTATGAACAAACAATGAATCATGGAACACTGCATCAAAAACTAATGATGTAATATATGGTGATTAACATAACAATAAAAAATTTAAAAAAATATTTAAAAAAATGAAACAACAAAAAACAATCCCTACTGAAATGGATTTTTAATGGTGTATAGAACTAAGTACTATATAGCAATTAACAAATCATGCTTTCAAAGAATATTTGTGGATATTGCTCACATGGAAAGCAGAACATATAAACAGTGTATATTTGTAGACTATTCCTAATTTTGCTTAAAACACACATGTATACACATACACATATAAACTCACGGAGACAAGACTAGAAAGAATCCCATGAACATGGTTGTTTTTAAGATTTTTAATTTGGGGGCACCTGGGTGGCTCAGTCATTAAGCGTCTGCCTTCGACTCAGGTCATGATCCCAGGGTCCTGGGATCGAGCCCCGCATCAGGCTCCCTGCTCCTCGGGAAGTCTGCTTCTCCCTCTCCCACTCACCCCTGCTTGTGTTCCCTCTCTCATTGTGTCTCTCTCTGTCAAATAAATAAATTAAATCTTTAAAAAAATTTTTTTTTAATTTTGAAGTTTATCACGTAATTTTATTTATTTATTTATTTATTTATTTATTTTAAAGATTTTTATTTATATATAGAGAGAGATAATGCATGTGTGTGTGAGTGAGCAGGGGAAGGAGCAGAGGGAGAGGGAGAAGCAGACTCCCCACTGAGCAGGGAGCCTGACTTCAGGTTCCATCCCAGCACCACGGCTCATGACCAGAGCCAAAGGCAGATGCTTGACCCACTGAGCCATCCAGGGGCCCCTCCCATGAACATGTTTAAGATGATTAGGATATAAGTGTTTGTTTTTTCTTTCTTCATACTTTTCTAAATTTCCACAATGAACATCTATTGCTTCTAAAACAAAAACTAAGTTATAATATAGTATATTTATAACTAACATCCTGAAGAGAAAGGAAACTGAGCAACTAGTCTTTATGCTTATTTCTGGAACCTGGGCTTCCCAAGATAACCAAAAGAAGTTGGCAAATTAACAATGAATCTTAATATGATACTTGATAAAAGTGAAGCAAAGATTTCAGGGTGGCTGGGATGAGGTTCACAGAACTTCAACATTAACAACTTTATAGAAGATGAGTCAGGCAACAGAGCATTTCTTAAATCTCCTAAGAGCAGAAACCACATCTTGACATAGGAAAGAGTCTGAGGTCCCTGGGTTCTGTCCTCGAATGCTGAGGTTCTTAAGAGAGAAGTGCCTTTGACCATGATACTTGTGTGATGCCATTTGACCTAGTTTCCAAGTTTCCAAAAAAGAGAGTAAGAATTTTTTTAAAAAGTGGAAGAATAAATATAATTAAATATATATGTATGTCTCCACAGTGTATGAGGCCATCCGCCAAGGCCATCCATTTGGGGAATCCAATAAATTGGAATGACGGTGGGAAGAAAGTCCTTTCCTATCTCACAGGAAGGTTATATAGTTATATGGAGAGGAACAGGAAGACATTTCACAGGGAGGAGCCCACGAGTCAGAAGCAGAATGAGAACTTAGTGGTGATATAGTGGCTGGTTGAGCACTAAGCCATAGCTCCTGTGGCTCAGCCTCAAATCTATGTCACAGGCAATGAAATATAGAGCAGAAACCAAGGTTTTATTTAAAAATAACTTAAGTTCTTCATTTCTCAAGGACTTAAAAATACTGAAGTACATAATTTATAACACCACCCTAAAATTTTCTTACCCCTCAGTGGGTTGTTTGCTAGTCATCTGCCCCAATGTCCATTTTCCTTTTCTTCCTTAGAAGTAGATCCTGTGATTTGGCTGGACACCTCGAATAAAATAAAAACATCTCCCAGGTGCTGCCACCTGACTAAGTTCTGGGCAATGAGTTTAAGTGCAAGCGTTGAATGCAACTCCTGAGAAATCTCCTCAAAGGGTGTCAGCAGGGCTTGTCTCTTCCTTCCTCCTTTAGGCTGGCAATAATACAGATGATGTGACTAGAACTGAATCTCCTGTGTTGCACCATGGGAGAGCATGCTAAAGACAATGGAACGAGAAAAGAGAAAGACCCTGAGTCCTTGATGTTCATGGAACCTCCATGACGGTGACGAATTACCTACATTTGAACTTTTTTAAATGACTGAGGAAGAGAAACAATCTTCTGTCCTAGGTCAGCTTCAGAGAATTTTCTGTTGCTTGCAGCTAACTGTAATCTTAACTGGCTTAAAGCCAAATCCCTTAGATTTCATATCTCTAAACTCTCCTTTTCTAAAATGCCCTAGAACAACGGCTCCCTACTTGCAGTCTCCAGGATCCCAGTCCCAACAGGCTTTTCTCTCCCTTCCCAAGAGAAGAACACCTCACCTCCCCAGTGACTGGGCTCTTATCATTCCATCTGTTCATTCATCCCCCTGACTCTGAGGCTCCAGCTACCTGCCCTCATTCCCAACTCCTGCACCCCACATCCCACATGACTGGTGGCAATGGCAGGGCCTCTTTGGAAAGTGGAGGGGAAGAAAATAAGCAATCATAGCCTAATCTTTCTTATGAGGAAGGGGATAGGGAGTTGTGGGGAAAGTCACACATCAATAACTCTTACTGTATCACTCAACTTTTGGGGAAGTGAAATAATTAGAGAAAAATCCAATGTTGAAAAGATAATTTTTCACATGTGCAAACAGCTTCATAGAAAATGCCTATTTTTCTTATATTGAATAAAAAAAATTGAAAAGAGAAAAATTATACAGCTCTTTGAGGTATAATGTTTGAGAAAGGGCAATTCTTGGGCAGCATTTTAATGATTTTAGCTCTCACACTTACATGGCATTTAAATGCATCACTTCATTTTGCCTTCTGAACAACCCCGAAGGGTCAATACTGTTGTCGTCCTCCATACACAGGAGACAGCTGAGGCTTAGAGAGGCCAAATGCCTTGCTCAAGTTCACATAATATGGCAAACTGTATTACTGTTCTCAAATATTGCCTGTCCCACACCATGGTAGGATTAGACCCTGTCACATCTTTGACAGCGGGCTTGGCAATGTTGACTTGCTTGGGCCAATGAAATGTGAATAGAGGTCCAGTGTCGATTCCAGATACAGTCTTTCAGCGTGATTTTTCTGCCTTCTTTTCCTTGCCATGAGACCTGCCTGCCGGGGTAGAAGCTGGGTCATTGAAAAACTATGAAGAGTTGAGCCACCTATCTAGTGGACACTTTATCTGACCAAGAAATACCACTGTGTTTATTTATTCCTGTCATAGAATTTAGGCTAAAGTGACTGATGCACAAAATCAGTGAATGGAAAGCCAGGGAACTCCAGGCAGCGTTTGCTTAGTACTCCCCGGCATTTCAGCACAATCTAAAGAGCTGAGGGAGTGGCAGGCAACTCTCCACTCCCAACTGCATCCTCCCTCTCCCCTGGTGGGAATTTCTTCAACATACTGGAACCCGGCAACCTATTATCCTAGGCCCGAATTGATGTTTCTCAAAGGGCCTGCCGTCAGGCCATTGTAGTGCAATTCAACACACAGCCCTGTTCTTGACTGGTGCCCAGTGCCCCTGGGGCCCCGCTGCTGCAGGCCTCAGCGGGGCAGTGGCTTTTCTGCCCACCAGTGGACTCTCACTCTGTTACCAAGCCCCAGCTTCTGACTCCACAGATGGCCAAACGCGCTAGGAGAATTTCCCTGGACACTTCCCTCCTTCCCCTCTTCCCTGTTCGAACCCCCCTCAGCTTTGTAAGAGAAAAAAAAAACTTTGAAATTAGTGGCGGGGGTGGGGAGGGGTGGTCACTGGAATTCTAAGGCAGAAGGCTTTTAACAAGCCGCCAGAAACAGGTTACTTGTAGCTCAGCCGCGTTAAAAAAAAAAAGGAGATAACAGTTACCTTGTCAAGGTCCAAGCAGGGGAGCAACCATCACAGAGAAAGCTAACAGGCAGGCCAGAGCTGTACCAGGACACCAACAGTGGCTGCCATGGCTGCCAAGGAAACCCCGAGTTCCCCAGATTCCACGGCAAGGTTAGCAATCAGCCCGGGAACTATGTGACAGGAACTTGGGTGTCCCAGAAATCCACTGGGTGGAACACAGTTTGCTCATCCTCTTCAAGGCTGGTGTGGCCTGAGAAATTTGCATCATACTCTGATTGTATTTTTCATAGCAGGTGCTTTTTTGCAAAAGTATTTTTCCACCACTAACAAATACATGGGTACAACGACTTGTGATGACTTGAAGCTGTGTGAGTTTTCCCATATCTTGTGATCAATAGTAGCATAGTTAGCAGCTTTGAGAGAATAATGGGGAACGTTTAAACATCTACAAGGAAAACTATACTGGTTATAGTCCTTTTTTAAGGAAAATTACTTATCCTTCAGATTTTTTTTTGAGCCAATATGGTTTTAGTAACCATCTTTAAAGTTTATTTTAAAATCTCATTTCCTCTAAGGCTTATTAGGAACTGAGTGGAAAAAAATCTCTTTACCACAGGGCAGATGATGTGAGGAAATGTGGGGAAATGTGGAGATATATTTCTGATGTATTTTGTGGACAAGAATCCCTTCCCCAGAAAGGTATTTGTAAACTCACCAAGTACCTGTGCACCTAAGCAGAAGGCCCAGCATTTTATCTGCCCCAAACCTACTTCAGAAGGAGGATGAAGCCTGAGAGAAAATGAGGAGGAACAGAAATTAGCACAGGGGATTACCCAAAGATTCAAAGGAGGAACTTTCAAATCCACTTTGCCAGATAGGTTTGACTCACAGTACAGAAGTGATGCCAAGGTCAATTAGGGCTGTATTTTGTTGTCTTTAGAACAAATCAAATATGTCTTGTAAATGGATCCACTTCTATGTACAAACATTCTGGGAAAGTCCTACGTATGTTTGTGTGTGTACGCCTGTTTCCCAAAAGCTAAGAGGAAAGGGGATTTTTCCCCACACTGGTGAAGCTAACGGAAGAGATCTGCTTCTAGGGGCCATAAATCCCGAGGGCAACAGCTGTTCCAACTGGACAAACAGAGGGAGGAGACTCAAAAGGAAGAATGGGAACAGCTGTTATAACTGATACTATGCCCCTCACCTCTCCCAGCAGATTCCTTTTACTAGCTGTTCAAGTCTTCTTTTTCACTTGTTTACATGACATCTATATTTTTTACTCTCTCCCCCAACTTCCTCATGGCCACTCCCTCACCTCCCTCAGGTCTTGCCCAAATGTCACCTTCTCATTGAGCTTTCTCTGCCCCCCATCTAAGAGTGCAGGGCTTTCCTCTCTAAACCGACATCCCCTATTCTCCCTTTCCATTTATTTTCTTGGCAGCACTATTTTATTCTTTTAAAGTGTAATATATCATGCATACAAAAGAATATATATATTTGTAAATTACAAGTCACACTAATAGAATAAATACCCATGTTGTTTACCACAACATAAGAATTTAAAACATTTTAGATACCCCGTTGTCTTCCTTGTCATATTCTCGATATGTGCACTAGAAGAATGTCCGTAGTAGTACGCATCATTTTAACACAAAACTGAAAACAACACAAATACCCATCAAAGAACAGATAAATGAACTCTGATATATTACCCAATAGAACACTCCTCAGTGGAAATCAGTCAACTACAGTCATACACAACTGAGCACGGATAAATCTTAGAAACATAATGAGTAGAATAATTAAGTCCCAGAAGACCAAACAGAATACCATTTATGTAAAGCTCTAAAACAAGCAAAACAATGTTATTAGCATGAATCTTAAGAACTGTTACTACTCCAAGCCATACGCATCATCTTTATCTTAGCTTACTATTCAGGTAGGACTCTTCCAACTTCACCGTATATGTAAAACAATGTCTTCTAAATTCATGCCAATTCTAAACAGTCTTAGTTCCCCAAATACAAAACTCTATTTAACCTTCCAAGTTGGAAAACAGGAGTCAATCTTGACAACTTTTGTTTCTTGCCCACCATATAAAACTGATCACTCAGTCAGGTAACTTTGCCTCTTACAGCTGGCCCCAATCTCCTCCCAGTTTCCCATCTCCCACCTCCTTAGATCAGCTCTTCAACTTCGAATTCTAGATATTTTGTAGTTTCCTAACCCACTCCCCATTTCAGTCCATTCATAGTTTTTCTGTGAGTTGTCCAAAAGATTAATTTTTTTGTTTTTATTTCAATATATTTCAACTTAATATGAGCATAACTGATTTATCAGTCTGAAATTGGTGGGAGTTCAAACTTGACATTTTTATTTTGATCTCCAGTTGCCACATTTGTGCTAGGATGAACCCTCCTTTTCAGTTACTTTCAAATTACTTCCAGTCCAGTCCATTTCTATCCAGTTAAAACTTCATTCTCATAAAGTTCCTTACTCCCCTTGCCCCCAGCTCATGCCGCTTGACCCATGGCCTGAAACCTGTAGGGCACAAGAGGTGGGGTGTCCTCACCTTTCTTTGAGTATCTCCACCTCTTGGGTGAGAGTAGGTGGGTGGGAGAATTGGGTTATGAAAAGATACGATTGGGTCCTACTTAAAGGGTGCCGTTGTGGTTTTCACTTGACTATATTAATTATCCACTCCCTCAACATGGCAGCAGTCCAGTTATTGCCTTTTTGGGGGGCACAGTGTATGTTCACTTCTGGGCACACTGTGTTCTTGAGGGAGGGCTCATCTCACCATTTAGTCCTGGGTATAGGAACTCTGATCCAGCTCAATGTATTCCAATCTCTTTATTCAGTTAGATTCTCAAGCCAACTCACATTGGCTAATCGTTAAATTTTCTGAAATTTTGTGAGCTGCTTATTAATCCATTAGTAGCTTGAAATCAGCTCTGGTGGGAGAATTCACACAAATTGGTGAAAACTACAAATCTGTTCTAGGTTTTTCTTATGAAAAGCCAGTTGTTAAACATTTACTGGTATTTACTAGAATGTCCACAGCTTTCTTCTCTCCCCAGTAATCTACTCCAAAGCCTCTTGCTGCTAGAACTTCTTCATCCCAGTCCTTTTGGGCAGGGGACTGACAAAATGGCTGAAGCCTAATACTGCATGGGGTTCAAGTCGGTCAGAGGAAAATCATGCACCCTTGCCACACTAAAGGGTACGAGTGCCAACATTTGCAAAGGCTGGATACTCACTCTTCCTCATCATCTCTCTCCAAAGCTCTGCTCTTTCTGCTCAAACTATGATAGTAGCAGTCTGAGTAAGCAACTGCCTAAGCAGGCATACAGCTCAGGAAAGACATATCCATCTTCCATTCTTGGAGCATTCACAATGTCTGGAAGCAGTTCTCTTGGAGTGTCCTTCCCACTGGAGAGAGGGAAGGACTAACATCTCATATAAACAGCACTCCCTGATGATTTTCTGGGGGCAGCAGTCCTCAAACTTTTTATCTTAGGACACTTTTACCCTCTTAAAAAATATGGAGGACCCCAAAGAGCTTTTTTTATGGGTTATGTCTATTGCAATGACTGCTTCAGAAATTAAAGTGGAAGAATGTGTAAAACACATAAATATAGAAGCATACATTCTATTAGCTCCTAGAGTGATGACATCATCTCATTTCATGTAGCCTCTAGAAATCTCCACTGGTATATTCATGAAAGAATAAGAATGGAAAAGGCAAATAATGTCTTAATATAACTATAAATGTTTTGGCTTTATTGACGCCCACCCCCCATGTAAACGTCTCAGAGACCTTTAGAGCTCCCCCCTCCACTGTTGGGAGACAATTCTCCATAAGCCTCTCATGTCTCTGCATGCCTGGCCAGCACAGGCAACAACGACTTTTGATCACTACCTTTTCAAAGATGTTTGTGTTGTGAACAACTTTGGAAAGCTAAAGACATTGTCTCCCTCCAAGTGTTTGTTCAGAGAAAAGGGCAGGTTTATTACTGTCCATTATAATAAGGATAATGTCTCTTTCCAGAATGTGTACTGCTCTAGACTGTATATGTATGAATTATGCAACCATAACCACAGTCTAATTTTAGAACATCTTCATCACCCCACCAAGAATTAGCATTACCCTCATTCCTCTTCAGTCCTGAATAAGATTTTTAAATGATTTTCTCTTCACATTTTTGGAATTTGACATAAACAAAAACTTCCCTCACTGAAGTAGATGATAAGAAATTTAAAATCATTTATTAGCAACTAATAAAATATTTCCAACAGCTGAAATTATATAAAATCTAAAAGGCATTTTTCCTTTAACAAATCTATTAATATTTCCTATGCAAATGTGAATGGATTTCTAATACTATTGAACTTTTTCATTTTATGTTAATTATCTATTGCTTGGTAAAAAATTACCCCGAAATTTGGTAGCTTACAACAATAATAAAAATGTATAATCTCACATGTTTGCAGATCAAGAATTTAGGAATGGCTTGGGTGGGCATATCTGCCTCAGGTCTTCCATGAGGTTGTAGTCAAGTTGTGAGTAGAGGCTACAATCATCTGAAGACTTGACTGGAGATGGAAGAACTGCTTCCAAGGTGGCTCACTGATATAGCTGTTATGGTAGGTTGGAAAATAGCCCCCCAAAAGATGTCCATGTCCTAACACCCAGGACTTGTGAATATATTACTTTACATGGCAGAAAAGGACTTTGCAGATATGCTTTAGTTAAGAATCTTAAAATGGGGAGATATGCTGGATTATCCACACGGCCCCAGTATAATCACAGAGTCCATATATGACAGAGGTAAAAGTATTAGGATGAATAGTAGAGGGGCAGCTGGTTGACTCAGTCAGTAGAGCATACGGTTCTTGATCTCAGGGTTGTGAGTTTGTGAGTTCGAGCCCATGTCGGGCATAGAGATTATCAAAAAAAAAAAAAAAAAAGGATAAGTAGTAGAAAATAATAGAAGATGTGAAGACAGAAGCAAGAGTTTGGAGTGATGCAACAAAGGACTCATGAGCCAGGGAATGTGGGTGGTCTTGAGAAGCCAAAGGAAACAGATTTTCCCCTTTGCACCTCGGGAAGGAGCCAGCCCTGCCAACACCTTGACTTTAGTCAAGAGAGACTGATTTTGGATTTATGACCTCTGTAACTGTAAG